ACAGACAACTGAGAGCTTATAGAACCCTGAATTTGGAAGCAGTTGTTTCGGTGTTGGTGGTTGTTTGTTTGAGACAGTCTCATTCTGTTGCCCAGGCTGTAGTGCAGTGGCATGATCTCGGCTTACTGCAATCTCCACCTCCTTAGCTGGGATTACACCACACCTGGCTAATTTTTGTATTTTTAGTCCAGACGAGGTTTTACCACGTTGGTCAGGCTTGTCTCAAATTCCTGGCCTGAAGCGATACACCTGCCTCAGTCTCCCAAAGTGCTGAGATCACAGGCATGAGCCACTGCACCCAGCCTAGAAGCAGATTTTAAGTAGAAAAAGTTCATAAAAAGTAACTTTTAATTAACATTGCTAATTCACTTACAATAACTAAATTTTATGTTATGGTTGTCTTCCAAATACATGCTGGGTATACATATATATATGAATAAATGTATGAATAATATATGAATATATGTGTGTATATATATACACATATAAATTTATATATATATATATATGTATTTTTTTTATTTTTTTTTAAGGAGACGAGGTCTCACTATGTTCTCCAGTCTGGTCTTGAACTACTGGCTTCCAGCATTCCTCCTGCCTCAGCCTTCTGAGTAGCTGGGATTATAGGCACATGCCGCCCTGTCTGGCTTCTCAATATTATTAAATACAATTCAGAAGTGTTCTTTGTTATATAATACCATATCCTGTGAATATACCATTTCATTCAACCAGTTTCCAATTGTCTGATCTTTTATGTTTTGGCAGTTATAAATAATACTTGTTATAGAGGGTGAGGGGGAAACATATATAAATGCCACGTATTTGCATATATTTGTTGGTAATAAAAAAAAAATAATAAGATGAATCTGGCTTTTTTTTCTTTTTTTCCTGACATGGAGTCTTGCTTTGTCACCCAGGCTAGAATGCAGTGACAAGAAGGGAATCTGTATTTCAAACCAAACCTAATCTGTGGCATTTTTCCACATTGCCCAGGCTGGTCTCAAACTCCTGGACTCAAGTGATATGCCCACCTCAGCACCTCCAAGTGCTGGAATTACAGATGTGAGCCACAGTGCCTGGCCCTTGGATTTATTATTTGGTTCATGCCTGACTGATTACATTGTACATCAGACATACTGTGCCCCTTGAAGGATTGCTAACATCTTTGGGCTTCTGGCTGATTTATAAATTTAGTATCAAGTTCCTCATATGCTGCATTTTTTGTAAGTTCCTGAGTAGTCTCACTTTTAAAGAGTATCTATTAAGTGCATACCAGGGAATGTTTAATCCCTCTGTCTTAACTGTGAGTTGTTTTGTTGACTAAGGCCTTTGTATAAACTATGCTTCATGTTACACAACAGGTTTGACATTCTTTTGTCTCTCCACTATTATATTTCACAGAAAACCCACCTAGTGCCAAGCAACCCTCCAAGATGCTAGTTATCAAAAAAGTTTCCAAAGAGGATCCTGCTGCTGCCTTCTCTGCTGCATTCACCTCACCAGGATCTCACCATGCAAATGGGAACAAATCTTCATCCTTGGTTCCAAGTGTCTATAAGAACCTGGTTCCTAAGCCTGTACCACCTCCTTCTAAGGTATGATTAGAATCAGGTTAAGAACCTTGTACAAGAGAAGTTTGGGAATAAATCAGAAAAAAATTAATAAATTTGTTTTTTCTTGCCAAATCAGTCACCAGATACTCAGTACCTGTTATATGTATAGTATTTTACTGTCTCCAGATTCTACTCCTGCCAGTTGGATTTTTAGTAGACCTCTCAGACTCATTAGCTTCATCATTTCATAATCTTTCTCCTGATTTGCAGTTTTCTTTCTTTCCTTTTTTTTTCTTTTCTTTTTTTTTTTGAGACAGTTTCTTACTGTCACCCACGTTGGAGTGCAATGGCACAATCATGGCTCAGTGTGTAACCTCAGCCTCCCAAGTAGCTGGAACTACAGGTGCATGCCACTATGCCCGGCTTATTTTTTGTAGAGACAGGATCTCATTCTGTTGCCCAGGGGCTCTTTAACTCCTGGCCTCAAGCAATTCTCCCACCTCAGGTTCCCAAAGCACTGAGATTATAGGCACGTGGCCCCTCTGGTTTTCTGTAAGAGCAGCAACATCCACCTGATCACTCAGCTTGACTACCTTGGCTACTTCTCTTCCTCCTTACTCATTCTCCTCAGCCAAGGAATTACAAAGTCCCTATTAGTTATTCTTTCTATGCTGCCCTTGTTCAGGACTTTGTCATCTCACATTTACTATTGCAGTATACCTTTCTATTTTCTCATGTCTCTGTGTCCTGCAGAACTGCCAGAATGATCATCCCAGAACAATCGAATATATCACATTCCTTCTTGAATCCCTTCAGTGGCTCCAAACCATTTATAGAAGGGAGTGGTAAATTTTTTTATTTGAAGGGCCAGATAATAAATATTTTAGGCTTTCCTTGATACATATGATTTTTGTTACACATTGCTTTTTTTTTTTCAACTCCCTAAAAATGTAAAAAAAATATCATGAGCTCATGAATCATACAGAAATGCCTCAGGTGAGATTTGGCCCATGGATCATAGTTTGCCAGTCTTTTAATCAGTGTCCAGATTAAGCATCGGCACGTGAAATTTTCTTATAGCCAAACTCTAATACTTAAATAGTGATGGGTTCTCACAGTATTGCCCAGGCTGGTCTCAAACTTCTGGGCTCAAGCCATCCTCCCACCTTGACCTTGCAAAGTGCTAGGATTACGGCCTTGAGCCACCAAGCCTGGTCTCTTAATAATTTCACTGAGAATAATTATTCTACTGATAATGATTGGAGTTTTCAAGATGGATTAGATCTACAAGAGAAGAGGATAGAAGAAGAGGAGTACAGAATGGGATAGTACTGACAAACTGTATTTCAGAAAAAAATGGTAAACTATCACAGAAATACAAGTGGGTGAGTTTGCAATAGCAACAGGGGAAGCGAGTTGAGGAAAATAACTGGAAAAAAGCCTTAGTGATTAGAAAGTTCCAGGAGACTTTTTTTTTTTTTTTTTTTTTTTTTTTTTTTAAATTGTATTTGGGCTCTGGGGTACATGTGCACATCCTGCAGGATTGTTGCATGGGCACATACATGCCATGGTGGTTTGCTGTCTCCATCCCCACCTCCCCCAGTCACCTACATCAGGCATTTCTCCTGGTGTCCAGGAGACTTTTGAGTTGATGTTTTTAGGTAAAGTAGGTCTGAAACAATATTTCAAGGACTTTTGGAAATATGTGGAGGTAGTGGCACATTTTAACCTTGGAAGTAAAAGGAACTAGATCGAATATAGGTAGTGGAAAAGATAAGTGCATAAATGAGGAAATCTGTAGGAAGAAGCCACTGGAAGCAACTTGAACTGTACTTGGAAGAGAGGAGGTCAGTAAAGGGTCATGGACCAAGAATAAATATGTGGGAATAAAACTTAATTGACAAGTACAATTATCTTCGAAAAGGGTTTAGGATATTATTTTCCTCTGATGTAGAAGGGAAAGAATGTGAATTCAAGTGAAGAGAGCAATTACAAAGAAGGAAACAGCCAAGCATGGAAGTTAACTGCCGGGCTATGGAATAGACAGATTCTACCTTGCTCCTTCTTCCTCTTACGACCTTGGGCAAATTTCTTCACTTCCAAGCATTAGTTTCTTCTTCTATAAAATAGGGATAATAATACACACCTTTTTTGGTGAGAAGTAAATAAAATTTTATGAAATACCTAAAACTGGCATATAAGTGCCAATAAATGTTATTGTTCCCAATCTGCCAGCACACCTTATGTTTGTCCCAATTCTTGAGAGCTTATAAAGACTTTCTTAAGTGTTACTTTAAGATGTCTGCAAGCATCCTGCAGGACTATCGAAAATACAAAAATGAGTAAGAAAATGTCATAGTGTCCTCAAGGATCTAATAAAAGGTAAAAAAGTGACAAGGATAAAAATTATGATACAAAACTTAAGATCACTTTAGCCCTGTTGTAAGTCAGGGGTAGAATGAAGATTGGAAAACGAATATAAAGCAGTTGCTCTTGAAGCTTGAACAGGCTGGTGACAGTTGGCAGAGAAGGGAGGTGGTAATGGCAGATAGTAAGAGGAAAATTAGACAGCAAAAGAAAACAGAAGACATTCTACCCTGGGAAATTAGGGTAACTATGGAAGATCAGGTTTCAGGAAATGTGGTTGTGATTCTGGGTACCTAGAATGTGAAATGTTAGAAGGAAGAAGAGGTAAGATAACTAAGAAGCAAATGTTGATTTATCCATTAATTCTATCTAGACATTAGCAATAATTATTGAGTATCTCTGTAGTAAACACTGGGTGTCACTAGAGGCACAAAATAATACTTGGCCTTTAATCCCAGAGTTCACCATCTAATGAAGAAACAGACATTTTAAAAAAATTGTCCTTTTCTTCCTGGGAAGGGTTGTCAGAGTCTTTACAGATAACTGGGGTTCAAATATATGATAAAGGGAACGTCCATTTGTTGACATCTCACTGTGTTTCTTTGTTAGACCTTTTACACATACTAAAGCATTTACTCATTTAATCCTGGGATATAGGGAATTACGTACTGTGCGGTTACATAGCTAATAAGTGGTAGAGTCAGGCTTTTAACCCAGGTCTGACTTCAAAACCAGAGCCCTTTCTACTGTTCCAGAATGCCTCCTGTCTTGAAGGATGAAGAATAGAAAAGGAAGATGAGAATTTAGTCTTTTGAGTCAAACTTAACTAAGTTGAAATCTTTGTGACACTTTCTAGGGTTGTGATCTTAAGTTATTTGATTTTGCTAAAATTTTCTTTTTTGAGACGGAGTTTCGCTCTTGTTACCCAGGCTGGAGTGCAATGGTGCGATTTTGGCTCACCGCAACCTCCGCCTCCTGGGTTCAGGCAATTCTCCTGCCTCAGCCTCCAGAGTAGCTGGGATTACAGGCACGCACCACCATGCCCAGCTAATTTTTTTGTAGTTTTAGTAGAGACGGGGTTTCACCGCGTTGACCAGGATGGTCTCGATCTCTTGACCTTGTGATCCACCCACCTCGGCCTCCCAAAGTGCTGGGATTACAGGCGTGAGCCACTGCGCCCGGCCTAAAATTTTCTTAACAGTAAATTGAAGCAAGTAATTGGAATGCAGTGTTTGAATCATCCTAATTCCTCAGTAAGTGGACATTTAAAAACAGTAGTACTGGTCGGGCGTAGTGGCTCACACCTATAATCCCAGCATTTTGGGAGGCCAAGGTGGGAGAATCGCAAGATCATGAGTTCCAGACCTGCCTGGCCAACACAGTGAAACCCTGTCTCTACTAAAAGTACAAAACATTAGCCAGGGCTGCGCCCCAGCTACTTGGAAGGTTGAGGCAGGAGAATTGCTTGAACCTGGGAGGTGGAGGTTGCATTGAGCCAAGATTGCGCCACTGCACTCCAGCCTGGGTGAAGTGCGAGACTCCATCTCAAAAAAAAAAAAAAAAAAAAAAGAACTAGTTCATTAGAAAGCAAGTAGCTGGGACATTCTTGGCAGAGGGAACCTGTTGTTACCCAGAAAATTGATGCAGAATATGGTATATTTGGAATAAAGGAACCATAGTGGTTTGGTATGACTGGCATGTGAAAGTGGATGGGGAAGTAAGACTTCACGGAGGCCTCTATAAAAAGCGTAAGAGAGAGGTTAAAGTAGGTAGGAGGTGCTTTTTTTAATGAAGTTCACCTGGTTCAACAGATTACAGCAGAAGAAGAGTACGAAGGCTAGAATGCTAGAATGCTTGAATGCTTACATCCATTGAAAAGAAGGAAATTCAAGAGGTAAAAAGAGAACCAAGAGAGTGAAGCATCTGGAACTCAAGAAGGGAAAAAGGGACAGATTTAGAAAATATTGTAATGAGCAATATCACATTTCCTAAAGAAGACAGATTTTTTAGAGCTGGCCTTTGTAATCTAAAGATGAAATTTGGGCCAGGTGCAGTGGCTCATACCTGTAATCCCAGCACTTTGGGAGGCCGAGGTGGGTAGATCACAAGGGCAAGAATTCAAGACCAGCCTGGCCAACATGGTGAAACCCCATCTCTACTAAAAATATAAAAATTAGCTGGAGGGCCGGGCACGGTGGCTGAAGCCTGTAATCCCAGCACTTTGGGAGGCCGAGGTGGGTGGATCACAAGGTCAAGAGATCAAGACCATCCTGGTCAACATGGTGAAACCCCGTCTCTACTAAAACTACAAAAAATTAGCTGGGCATGGTGGCGCGTGCCTGTAGTCCCAGCTACTCAGGAGGCTGAGGCAGGAGAATTGCCTGAACCCAGGAGGCGGAGGTTGCGGTGAGCCGAGATCGCGCCATTGCACTCCAGCCTGGGTAACAAGAGCGAAACTCCGTCTCAAAAAAAAAAAAAAAAAAAATTAGCTGGAAATGGTGGTGCATGCCTGTAATCCCAGCCACTTGGGAGGCTGAGGCAGGAGCATTGCTTGAACCAGGACCTGGGAGGCAGAGGTTGCAGTGAACTGAGATCACGTCACTGCATTCCAGCCTGGGCTACAAAGTGAGACTCCGCTTCAAAAAAAAATAAAATAAGAAAAAATAAAGATGAAATTTTTGGTTATTTATTAAAGAGTTGTTTTACTAAAATGGGAATAGAGGTGAGTATTGCAGGTAACTAAGCAGTAAGCAGTTAATGAACAAGTGAAAGATAGCTGATACCGTCTTACTCAGAAGTTTGGCAATAAAAGGAACGTGATATATAAGATTGAGGGAAAATAAGAAGTCTGGCTTTTTTCTCCTAATTTCAGTAAGATGGGGTAGCATATTTGGTAAACTTGAAAGAGAACAAACAGTGTTAGGAGGAAGTTCCTTTGAACCTGAGGGGCAAATGGGAGAGGGGGTGGGAGAAAGTTTGAGCCCAGTGATTTTAGAATTTTCAGTCCAGTGGGAGAAGATGACCACTTGAAGTGGAGCAAGTTAGGGCCGATTCAGAATTTAGAGGAAAAGGAGAGAACATTTAAAAAACAGCAACAACAAAAAACTGGTTATACAGTTCACCTTAATGGACTTTTACATATATAATCATCTAATAAAAACAGGTATGGGACATAATGATTTTTCCAGGGGGTAGTCCAGGTATTCCATAAAGTTTAAGTTACTATCAATTAAGTTGAAATAAAATTGGCAGAGATGTAGATACTCTGTTTTATGTAACAGAGTAAATCTTTTGTACTACTGTGGCAGAAACCCAAGTGTTTCTCTGCTCTGAAGTGACATTGTTTTAAAGACAGGACATCTGGTGACTCCACAACTCAGGAAAGGTCACAAATCGTCTTTGATAGTTAACCTGACCCAAGCAACCATCTTTAGATTTTTATCAATGCAAGAAAATAATTAATCCTCTTTCAGGTTGGGTCATTGTTTCTCTGATCTGCTTGCTTGTTCTTTTTGGAGGCATTTTGGGATAGTGAAAAGGCAGTTTCATTTACTAGCTGAATAACCTTGAACAAATTCTTACGGTCAGTATCATTCTCTATTAAAAGTCAACATAACAATTATTAGGCCTCATTGATTTAAAAATTAAATAAAACTGTGACCATCATCTGGTACCTGGCAGATAGTGAAGTTAATTCCATTCCTAAAGCTATTATTGTGTCTTCGTTTAATAACCATCAACCAAGAAAGCACTCAGGAAATGAATTCATTTCACTTAGGCCCCTTCTTTGTCCTGGAGGTCCTCAGTTCTAAGTGTTTATTCTGGAAAATTAAGCACCACTCCATTGACCTGCCTCATTTTCCTTCCTCTCCTCAGACAGTGTGGTTAACTCTGTATTCCAGCTATCCATCATAGTAGGGGATATGGCCAGAGTGACAGAATAGGCCCAGACCTTGCAAGGTTGAGTAGACAGGCCTCCAGACTAAATCAGGATTGTTCAGCCATTTACAATAGCCACCCTGGCCTGGAACTAGGCTATTGCCATCAGAGTTCCTGGAAAGCAGCAATTTTCTGATGCATTTTGTGGGCTATCAGGATTACATTAAACAAAATTAAACACTATTAAAAAACATTTTGGGATTCAGTAAATTTGGAAAATGCTGTATAACTACCTCTCAAGTTCTTACGTGCAGTTAAATGCTTTGAAAAATTGCACAGAAAAGAACCGCGTTGAACTTTTTTCACCCTAGTCCCTCCCAAACTCATTGAGCTAGAGCCTTCTTTTTGAGAAGTCCCTATTAATGTCCCATGGCTCTTCTGTATCCCATCTGCCTTTTTCCTTGAAGTGCCTCACCTCTAAAAGAAGTTGCATACTTCCCAAACATGTTAAGACAGGTACGCCCTGGAAACTTATGTTCTCATATGACATTTCACTCTTTGCTTTATGATTTTATAAGCTGAGCTTCTGTTTGTGTCCCTGTTCTTACTGATTTGTTCTTTGATCCTGTGTAGCCTAATGCATGGAAAGCTAACAGAATGGAGCACAAGTCAGGATCCCTTTCCTCTAGCCGGGAGTCCGCTTTTACCAGTCCAATCTCTGTTATCAAACCAGTGGTACTGGCTGGTGGTGCAGCTCTGAGTTCTCCCAAAGAGGTGAGTGAGGATAAAGCAAGGCAGCTTTTTCTGAAATTTGCATTTCCCATTCACTTATACTAAGATAACCAGTGTAACATGTATAGCTGTGACACTTTCTTTTGTAGCTGAGAATTGTTTCTTTATTGATGTTTTCTGTTCGCATCCAAAAGTGGGCAGTAGCCAAATGGGGTAAATGCCCTGTGGTGGACTAAGGTCATGCTATGTTAGATTGGCATTCTGCTGGTCTGTAGAATGATCAAAGAGGTGCCTTGTAAGCCAGCTACTCTTAACTATATAAACCCTACAGAACTAAAGTCTGCTTAAATAAAAGGATTGTTTGGTTTAAGACAGAGTGATAAATAGGCTACAAATTCTTGAAGTCAGTGCTGTGTAGAAGAGAACCCCAGTTCCTGCTCTTTGCTGTCAGGAGCAACCTATTTGTGGTATTTGCCCAGAGTCCTTCCAGCACCACCCCTCCAATTGAGATCAGTTCCTCTCGTCTGACCAAGTTGACCCGCCGAACCACTGACAGAAAGAGTGAGTTCCTCAAGACTCTGAAGGATGACCGGAATGGAGACTTCTCAGAGAACAGAGACTGTGACAAGCTGGAAGATGTAAGAGCATAGGCTTTTTCTGGGGTAGCCTAGGAATTTTCCTTTCATACATATGTGCTTCCTTCTTCTTAAAGGATAAAGATGTGGCAATATTTTTAAATGTACAGATATAGTATTTGTAGCTGTAACTTCCTCCTAGACCATGTAGTAAAGTGAGATTAACCCTTTAAAAGCCTGTGTTGTACATTTAGATCTGTGACCCATTTTATTTTTGTGAAGGTTATAAGGTCTTTGTTTAGACTGATTTTTTTATGTGAGTGTCCAGTCGTTCCCTCACCATTTGTTGAAAAGACTATCTTTTCTCCATTGTATTTCCTTTGTCAAAGATCAGTTGTCTATTTGTGGGCTCTCTGTTCTGTCCCATTGAACTATTTGTGTCACTTTCTGTCAGCACCACACTTTTTTCCCTCCACACCTCTTATGAGCACTTTACTACCACACTGTTTTAATTGCTCTAGCTTTTGTGCTAAGTCTTGATGTCAGGTAGTTATCAGTCCTCTGGTTTTATTCTTCTGTATTGTGTTAGCTGTCCTGGATCTTTTGCCTTTTCTTTCTTTTTCTTTTCTTTTTCTTTCTTTTTTTTTTTTTTTTTTTTTTTTTTGAGACGGAGTTTCACTCTTGTTGCCCAGGCTGGAGTGTAATGGTGCGATCTCAGCTCACTGCAACCTCCGCCTCCCAGGTTCAAGCAGTTCTCCTGCCTCAGCTTCCAGAGTAGCTGTGATTACAGGCATGCACCTCCACACCCAGCTAATTTTTGTATTTTTAGTAGAGATGGGGTTTTGCCATGTTGGCCAGGCTGGTCGCAAACTCCTGACCTCAAGTGACCCGCCCGCCTCAGCCTCCCAAAGTGCTGTGATTACAGGCATGAGCCACTGCCTCCGGCCTTGCCTTTTCATTAAAGCTTTAGAATCAGTTTGGTGATACAGCAGGTCCCCATTTGTAAATGGGGAAAATCTATGGGCTGAGGCTGTCTTTTGGAAAACACTTTCTGGGTGGTGACTCCTTGATTTCGTAGGTTGCTTATATTACCACAAAGGAACCTTAAACCAATGTGTCCTTACTTTTCCTTATTGCAGTTGGAGGACAACAGTACACCTGAACCAAAGGAAAATGGGGAGGAAGGCTGTCATCAGAATGGTCTTGCTCTCCCTGTAGTGGAAGAAGGGGAGGTTCTCTCACACTCTTTGGAAGCAGAGCACAGGTAAGTGAGGGAAGACATCACAGGGCATGCAGTGTATGATCCTTAAGGACCTTGAACATACTGGAGAAGTTATCTCAGATAGAGGCCCACATGCAGAGAGAAGTGGCCCAATTGTAACTTGTTTTCTGTGTATGCCCCAGGTTGGCCTATTGCCCATCAAGCATTCTTTCCCATACTCAGCCATCTTTTTCACAGTCTGCTCTCCAAGACTTTAATATATTTTAACTTCAGGCCAGGCGGGGTGGCTCACACCTGTAATCGCAGCACTTTGGGAGGCTCAGGTGGGTGGATCACTTGAGGTCAAGAGTTTGTGACCAGTATGGCCAACATGGTGAAACCTTGTCTCTACTAAAAATACAAAAATTAGCTGGGCATGGTAGTACGTGCCTGTAGCCCCAGCTACTAGGGAGGCTGGGACAGGAGAATGGCTTGAACCCAGGAGGCGACAGCTGCATTGAGCTGAGATTGCACCACTGCATTCTAGCCTGCGTGACACGGGTGCCGTCTCAACAATAACAAAAAAGCCAGACTGCAAGTGCTCTTTCTTCCTTAATGCTATCTTGGTTTCTGCTTCTGCTGTCTCTTCTGTAGCTCTTCCTCTCAACAGTAAAGAGCCTCCAGTTATTTATAATCACTCAAGTAGCTGAAATTAGAGCTTGTCCCACAGGGAGGAAAACAATTCCTTCTTTAACATCAGTTGCCCCTGGGCATAAAAGTTTTCTGTGGAAAGTGGTGGGCTGTTCACTTAGGCTTAATGATGGCATATTTTCTTTACCTGTTCTTCTATGTCCGCCAGGTTATTGAAAGCAATGGGATGGCAAGAATATCCTGAAAATGATGAGAATTGCCTTCCCCTCACAGAGGATGAGCTCAAAGAGTTCCACATGAAGACAGAGCAGGTTTGTTGTCAGCCTTTTTCCTGGAGACCAGTTAGTAACCTGGGGAATAAGGAGTTAGGACAATCCTTGCCATTAGGGAGCCTAGTTTAGTGTGAGAGAAAGACCTCGGGAAAAAAAATTACCTTAGTAGAAATGTAGTGGGGCTCCTAAATCTGCCTGGGAAATAAGGATCTCCAGTGGTGGGTACAAAAACTAAGTGTCAGTGATTAGCAGATTCTAGAAAATAGTATGTTCTTTCATCCTCTCAGCTCTAACTCCTTACCAGAACCACAAAGCTGTGTTCCAGAGTTATGGTCTGAGCTCTTGGTCTTTAAGGAAGCAGGTTTACCTTCTCTGCTTCCTGTTTTGCACTATAGTTTCCTGGTCCTCTGGCCAGAGCTAAGAAGCTAAATAGCTTGTGTCAGTTTATTCAACAGTTGCTTGGATTCTTTCTCTGAATAAAACACTGCTACATCTAGGGTGAACAAGACAAATGAGATTTCTACAAAAATCCTTGAACTTCTGGTGGCATATATTTATAGCACAAATTACAATTGGCTGTGTCTTTAAAAGGGGCACAGCACAGGCTGACATGAGACCTTGACACTCAGAACTCTGTTAGAAATAAAGACTTTCGGCTGGGCTCAGTGGCTCACGCCTATAATCCCAGCACTTTGCGGGGGGCCAAGGCGGGCAGATCACGAGGTCAGGAGTTCAAGGCCAATATGGTGAAACCCTATCTCTACTAAAAATACAAAAATTAGCCAGGTGTGGTGTTGTGCACTTGTAGTCCCAGCTACTCGGGAGGCTGAGGAAGAAGAATCGCTCGAACCCAGGAGACAGAGGTTACAGTGAGCCAAGATCGCACCACTGCACTTCCAGCCTGGGCAACAGAACAAAACTGTCTTTTGTCCAGCCTGGATGAGAAAGCAAGGAATAAGGACTTTCAGGCCCCATTCCAGACATACTGAATCTGGATCTGCATTTTTGAAAGATGGGTAGATGACTCATTGTACATTAAAGTTTGGAAAGCACTGCTATAAGGGATCTTGGAGGGTTTCTTAGAAGCACCCCCACTCCACATTCTACCCATAATTGAATTGAGGCCTGGCCTTTCTCAGGGCTCATGGGTCAGTACAGACATTGATGTTTTCTCTTTTTCTTCTTCTCCCATACTAACCACAGCTGAGAAGAAATGGCTTTGGAAAGAATGGCTTCTTGCAGAACCGCAGTTCCAGCCTGTTCTCCCCTTGGAGAAGCACTTGCAAAGCAGAGTTTGAGGACTCAGATACCGAAACCAGTAGCAGTGAGACATCAGATGACGATGCCTGGAAGTAGGCATATAATGCTCACCATGAAATCAGACCCAGTAAACTCTGTGTGTTTAGGGAGTATACAAAAGAAATCGTTCTTTTCCTTTTCTTATGTTGTTGAATACGTCATTCAGAAGGGAAATAATCATATCCCAAAGACAGAACGATTGGCTTGTTTTGCTTTTGTTGTTGTTCTTCCCTGTTATCTGCTTAATAGAGAGAAGTTTGTGTGGTGGAACAGATTTTTTAAACACACACACACACATAGTATATATGGGGCGATGCACAGGTAGGAGCTGGCAATGCAGAGAGAAGAGACACTGGTCTGCAGCAACAGCTTCTACTACCAGCCCTTGGGGCACTCACCCCTGTGCTCAAGCAATCATTGTCAATGACAAAGTGACTATTGAAGTTATAATTGTATTAAATTAATGCTAATAATTTGGATATTTTATTTTATTTTTGGCTGCTCGGGTAACTTTAGCCCTTAACCAAGCAAATGTGGTTTTATGTTTTTTTGTTTTTTTTTTCTTTTTCCTTTTTGGGTACAGCTGTAAAATATTTGGATATAGGAAATGTTGTGTTATTCTTGCAGCCTTGATATTCAGGGTGGATTGTAAAATATAAATTTTTGTGAGATTTCAAAGATTAAGATTATTTTGATAACATTATTTACAGATTTAAAAGATGTGGTTATCACAAGTCTTGAGGGGAAACTACTGCATAAAATAACTAACTTGGAATAAATATTTTGCATCAGTTTGGATTGTCTGGTGTAAGAAGTATATTTTCGTTAAAATCAGATGAGTGGATTCTTTTTTAGGGGAAATATTTTTAGAAGTTGAGGGGAATGTGAATTCAGACACAACTGTTTCTCTTTTTAGCAGATACTTTTTTGATGCAGAAAAACCTGTGCAATAAATTGAGTAATAAAGTCAGAAACCAAATTTTTTTTCTCAAACTGTTTTTTAGTGCCCATGTATTTACCAATGTACATATTTTAAGGGAAGTCTGTTTTGTTTTCCTACTAAATAAGAACTTGGAGTGGGGACTGGGGGAGAGTTGAACAATGCTAGTTGGATGGCTAGTGGAGAAAACAGGTTTTTTTCATTCATCAAATACTTTCTAATCCCCTGTTGTATGTTGCAGGCATTATGCAAGGCCCTAAGGTTGTGTGGAGTACCCAGCCCAGCAGGGGAGAGAACAGACAGTAACTTAAGAAAAAGACCAGGTGTTCAGGAGCAGCCTGGGGAACACAGCGACCTGTCTCTACAAAAAAAATAAAATTATTAAAATAGCCAGATCTGGCCAGGTGCAGTGGTTCATGCCTGTAATCCCAGCACTTTGGGAGTCCAAAGTGGGTGGATCATCTGAGGTCAGGAGTTTGAGACCAGCCTGGCCAACATGGCGAAACCCCATCTCTACTAAAAATACAAAAAAATTAGCAGGTGTGGTGGCAGGTGCCTGTAATCCCAACCACTTGGGAGGATGAGGCAGAAGAATTGCTTGAACCTGAGAGGCAGAGGTTGCAGTGAGCCGAGATGGTAGCATTGCACTGCAACCTGGGCAAAAGAGCAGAGACTCTGTCTCAAAAACAAAAACAAAATAGCCAGGTCCACACGGTGGCAGACAGTTGTAGTCCTAGCTTCTCAGGAGGCTAAGGGAGGAGGTCTGCTTGATTCCAGGAGAGTTCAGGGCTGCAGTGAGCCATGATGGCACCACTGCAGTCCAGCCTGGATGACAGTGAGACCCTATCTCTTGGGGGGTGGGGGGTGGGGTGGGGCGGGAAATAGTCGTTTTTCTACTGAATACCTATCACTGTTGCACCATTGTAAAGTCAAAACAGTCAAAAGTCTAACCATTGAAGTAGGGACAAACTTAGTTACTGAAAAGTAGGCTTTGCTATTATTCTCTCAACGTATTGCTAAAAATGTATTCTATGTCATTTGGAATTAAGCTGAACTGAGATGACATACTTTGAACACTTTGTAACCTGCTGCTGGTCGGTAATACCTTGACTTTAGGTACTGTGTAAGGAAATGTCTCAAGTCCCTATCTTGGTTAGAAAAGGGGGTTTCTTAAGAAATATGTGGCCATCTCAGAGCTTCTGCATATTTTTGAGAGCGGGGAGTCAAGAATTTGACCACCAGTTAAGGTCCTTTCTGGCTTCTGGCCAATCTTGGGAGAGAAAGGGTTTCTTTCTGGACTTGATTCCCTCATCTGATAGATTCCTTGTGTTCTCTCACAGCTTTCATTTCTTGGGCTATGCTGATTAACACCGTCTACAACTAAGAAACGAATGAGGGAATGGGAGTTAGAAACTGCTATCCCTGGTGTGACATGGTTTCCAGGCAGAATGCTGGAAAGGTCAGAGTGCCTCCTTTACCAAGTAGTACACTGGATTGGAGAATGGTAGAGACTGTTAACACAGCAGTGAAAAAGATGACACTTGCCTTTTAGAGGCTATTAAATGACCAATGATGGAGTAAGTGATAAGGGTCCAGCTAGTCTAGGAGGCAGCTGTTTTTCCTCTTTATTAACACAGGGAAACCAACATACAGTTAGAGACTTGCCCACATTCAAACTTCGTACTACTTTTTCAAACCAGTGGCTCCTCCCAGACAGCCAAGGTTTCCCCACCCGTTCTCCTGACCTGCCCAGGCCTGTGGTTGCTGTCTAGGGAGCTAAGGCTCTCCCCAAACATAAACTTGAAGATCTCACAGACTTAACAGACCTGGCCTTTCTTCTCTGCCTTGCTTTCTCTTTCATCCCCTTCTGCCTTTCCCCTGCTCTTGCTCCCTTCTGCAGGTCTTGGCTGATTTCAGGAAACTGGTCCCATCCATGGACTCCCACTCTGGGGAGCCAGAGCTCCTTCTCTGTGGGACCTGTGACATGGTTTTCCGCTCCTCAGCTCTGTTAGCCACTCACACACAGCGCTTCTGCATTGGCCACCCGACCCAAGAGACAACATTTGGAGCACAGGCCTCAGTTGACACTGAACTCCAGCAGGCTGCGGTAAGGGCCTCTGTGGCCATGGGTGGGGATTGAAAGGAGCAGGACCTTACAATTCCTCATCCTACTACACCTTGTCCCCAGGTTGTGCCACAAGAACTCCAGGGCCTCCCAGACCAGCAGACCAGTAAATCTGCTCTAAAGAGTTTAGCAGAGGAGGTAGGGCCACCTGCCTTTCCCCAAGGCTCAAAATGTTAAGCATCTTACCCAAACCTGTAGATCATACTTGGGACAGATGCTGCCCAAACAAAGATTAAGGATTACTTACCTCCAGGTGCAGTGGCTGCGGCTGTCCCTACAGGAAATGTGGCCCCGGATAACAGAGGTCCCCAGGGCGTCCGCGCGGCCCTGGACGCGTTCCGAGGCGCAGCCTCAGAGCCCCTTGTCGGAGGCGATGGGAAGCCCCAGCGAGCGGCTGCGGGCGCTGCTCAGAACTCGCGCAAGGCGCGTGGTGGAGACAGACGCTCAGAGCCGGGCCCTGCAGCGACGCGGCGAGGGTGAAGGAGAATGGCGGGGACCAAGGACCTCCTCTGCCCTCGCCCTTTGGCTTAAGCTTGCTCGGGCTGGTTCTGACTCTCCTGCACTCCCTCAGAACTGAGCCAGCGCCTCCAAGGTGTGGCCCGCCTATCTGTCCTGGAGCGGGAGATTCGGGAACTCCAAGCTGAGGCCGGGCGGAGGCAGGGAGTTCTAGAGGTGTTGGGAACCCGCGTTCAAGAGCTGCAGACGGAGACAGGGTAAGGCCTGACGTAGCGCACCCCCGGAATGTGCAGCTGCGGGGTGGGAGTGGCAGGCCAGCTGTTGCTCGGGCCTCTGATGCGTCACCGTCTCTCTGAGTGTTGCCTGCCACCCCAGGACCACACAGAACTCCAGGCGAGAGACAGAACTCTATTGTCCAGTGTTAAAGGCCAATCTGGGAACTCTGGCTGCCGAAATCTGGTGAGGGCCGGGGTCCAGAGGTGGGCATGAGGCGAAGCGCTGAGCAATTCAGGAAAGACGGCCTTCCTGTCCCCCACTCACTAGGGCCCTGCGGGAGGCCTACATTCAAGGTGGAGGCCGGGACCCCGGCTTGCTGGGCCAGATGTGGCAGTTGCAGGTGGAGGCATCAGCACTGGAGTTGCAGCGGTCGCAGACCCGCGGAGGTGAACAGGAGGGCCTCTCGGCAGCGGTGGTCAATCCTGGGAAGAGAAGAAAAACTCGAGGGAGGGCCTGTGGCTGTGGATAGGATATAAGCTGTCAACTCCAGCCTTATCCAAAGAGCCTTAGGTCTCCAGAGGTCACACTTGTTCATTGCAGGAAGGGCAGGTGCCTCCTCAGGGGAGCTTCCAGTAGTGGAGGCTGAAAACCGGCACCTGGAGGCAGAAATCTTGGCCTTGCAAATGCAGAGGAGTCAGGCACCCTTGGGTCAGTGAGTACCCCAACCTTATCCCATCCCACCTATCCCTCCCCAGCAGGCCTGGCTCAGGCAGTATATGGGGAACAAGACCCGTGTTTGTCACCCCCTAGGTCGTGTCTGCGAGTGTGTGTTCCTGTGTCCTCAGGGATCTGCCACCCATTTATGGGCCCAGCTCTTGGGGGAGGGGTGTCTCAGCTAGTTACCTGCTTTGTCCAACTTAGGGGCACCCTAAAACTCTTCTGCTCCCAGGGCCCCAGGATCTGCGACTCTTGGGAGGTCCCAGCCATCGACTGAAGGGCAGGAGAAATCCCCCACTCCTCCCACCGCCGCCGGTGGCACCTCCGCTGCCACCACGTCCAGGCTTCAGGGAGGTCTGGTTCTTGAGTGGCTTGGGAAAGGCTGTGAGAACACAGGGTGGAGTCGGGGAACAGGTTGGGGGCAGCTCTGCTCTGAGCAGTTGGGGGAACATGGGCAGTTAACAAGGCTTTCTGGAGGAGTCAACTCTCTTCCCCACAGCCACAGCTTCCTGGAACAATGACCAGAAACTTGGGCCTGGATCCATACTTTCTCCTGCCTACATCGGACGTCCTGGGCCCTGCACCCTACGATCCTGGGTGAGGCCTGTGCCATCTTTGACATCCTCTGTGACTTGGCCAGCATTGCTGGTTAAGGGAGCCCACTAGGGTCATATAGGATTGGGGAGCTGCCTGAGAGGAGGGAGGTTGACAGGAGTTGGGTGTGTCTGTGCTAAGACTTTTATGTTCTCCAGGGCTGGGCTGGTCATTTTCTATGATTTTCTGCGGGGCCTTGAAGCTTCCTGGATTTGGGTGCAGCTAAGGACTGGCTTGGCACGCGATGGAAAGGATACAGAAGGGACCACAGCATTGCCCCCAGCCCTTTGCCTGCCCCCACCTCCCACTCCCGGGCCCACGGGCAACTGTGCCATCCTTGCTAGCAGGCAACCTGTGCCCAGGTCAGTAGGTGGGGATCATGACTCTGGTACTCTGCCACAATTGAGGCTTATTCATCATTCTGCTAAAAGTTTTCTTATCTGTATAGAAAGTCCACTGGCTCTGAAGGGCTAAGTCCTAGGAAGGGACTATGCAGCTCTGGTTTCCAACACTGCTTTTTGGTTATTCTACAGACTGCCACCCTCACCATCAGTATCATTGGTCTGTGAGCTGCAGGTCTGGCAGGGGCTGGCATGGACTAGGGCACCACGGCCAAAGGCTTGGGTCTCACTTGGGCTATTTGACCAAGATCAGCGGGTGCTAAGTGGCCGGTGGCGCCTCCCACTTCGGGCCCTTCCTCTAGACCCTAGCCTTAGCCTTGGGCAGCTGAATGGGATTCCTCAGGTGAGTGTGGAGGGCAGGCATTGGGCATACACCAAGGTACAAATGTAATACTATTCCATCTTTCCCCAGGCAGGTCAGGCTGAGCTCTTTCTGCGGCTGGTAAATGCAAGAGATGCAGCTGTCCAGGAACTGGCAGAGATCAATCCAGCAAGTGTCTATGAGTACCAGTACCCACCTCCGGTGAGGATGCCACAGCTACCCATACCAGTGTGGCTGGTGGAGCTAATAGCCAGCCTTTATTGACCACTCATGAGTGGTCAGTCATTAGCAATGCTTCCTTGTTTGATCCTCACATCTATATGAAGTCCTACATAACAGATAAGAGAATCAAAGCAGGATCAGGTTAACTTGGTTCATAGTGAGAGACTCTAAGGAGACCTAACTCCAAAACCTGTGCTTAACTTTCACATTTTTGCTCCAAACCTGCTTTCTCCCTGTTCCACAGGTGTCCAGCACATCTTCACTGGAAGCCAACTTCTTTACTCCCACAGTTGGATTTGCTGATCCCCCACCTCCTACAGAAGAGCCCCTCAGTGGCATCAAGGAGAGATGAGGGTTTGGGCCCTCACCAGTTCTGACTTGCCCCAGTGAGTTTCTGAACATATACATGACTGGGGACTAGATGGTGGCCTATTTGCAGACCTACAGCTTTACTGCTCCATGTTCTGACATTGGGTCTAGAAGCAACTTGCAGTTGAGAATACGAGCTCCAACCATAGCTTTACCATCATCTCCCACAAGTCCTTAATTTTTCTGTACCTCTTCTGTTTTTTTTTTTAAAGCAGACTAAGGATTAAATGAGTTTGTCAGGTATTTATGATATTGTCTGGCACATAAAAAGGTGACTAGGGGGCATTAATTCTAAAGAAAGTAACTTTATAAATTCCCACTGGTTTTTTGGTAAAGCCAGTTTTATATCACCAAACTTACTCAAATCTGTTTCCTCAGTACTTCTGCCAGGAAACCCCTGAGGCCTTATGTACTTAGATTCTGGGCTAGGGCCCCAGCCTAAGGTTGTTCCCCCACAAGGGTCACATGTGAGATCTAGATAAAATGAGATACCGTGCCTAGCCCTAGATCCCAGTGACAACCAGAGGAGGTCAAGCACCTGGGAGTAAACTACATCATGACTGTCCTGACCAATAAATAAAGGGGAAAAACGGTGATTGCAGAGACATGCCTGCAATCCCAGCTATTTGGGAAACTGAGGCCAAGAGTATCGCTTAAACCCAGGAAGCAGAGATTGCAGTGAGCCGAGATCATGCCATTTTATTCCAGCCTGAGCAGCAAAAGTGAAACTGTCTCAAAAACAAATTAAAAATCAGGCTATTAAAAAAAGGCGGGGGAGGGGGAAGGGCAGTGGAGTCCTCAGGACCTGGAACATACATTGCAAGGGCGTTTTCAGGAAGAAACTCCGAAGCCAGAGATCTTGCAACCATGAGTTACTGTGACCAGCCCAGAAAACCTCCTAGTCTGAAAAATGGGATTGAGTTGAGGGGTCGGCCTAGCGCAGCAGCCCTACAGGTGTCAAGACTACTAAATTGAATCCCATTGGGTGATGTAGGGCAGGCAGTGTTTGGAATTCAGATCCTAACAGATTCTTAAACTGAGTCTGGTCAGAGGCAGTTCAGTCTCAAGTGAGCCCTGAATGCTAGACACCAGTGAGAGCCCAACTCGGATGGCATTACTACTAGTGCCTTCACCAGCAGCATCTTTGGGGTGGTGGTATCTTGTCTTTCAAACCCTCTACTGCACACAGAAATGCTCTAGGCAGTCAGGTGCGGTGACTCACACCTGTAATCCTAGCACTTTGGGAGGGTGAGGTGGCCAGATCACTTTGGGTCAGGAGTTTGCAACCAGCCTGGACAACATGGTGAATCCTTACTCCCCAGTAAAAATACAAAAATTAGCCAGGTGTGGTGGCACAAGCCTGTAGTGGTACCTACTCAGGAGGTTGAAGCAAGAGAATCTCTTGAACACAGGATGGGCAGGCAGAGGTTGCAGTGAGCAGAGATTGCACCTGAAAAAACAGCCTAGGATCCCACTGTAAGATCTTTAAACACAATTCCAGACCAGGAGATTTTCAGCATCTTTATTTGAGAAGCCAATTCTGTAGATGGGTAACAATTCCAAGTGTTGATATATTTCAACCTCTATATATACAGAAAATAACAAACTCAACCAGCCAGCCTCCCCACATATTCTTCCAACCACATCTGAACTGTCCATCACAATCAGTCCCTTGTACTTTCAAACCAGAGCTCAAGTGTAAACTGTTTTCCTTAGAGATCATTCCCCCAACCCATGTTTTCTTCAGAGTTCATTTTCCAGGACACAATTATAGCCCCAGTTGAAGACGAGGTGGATGTAAAACAAGTACCATCCTAACCCTGGCTCACAGCCAAAGTCCATCATCCATTTTGAGCACCGAAGAGCAAGATATTCACCAAGTCTTGTTTTTGTGGCCCCCATCCAGAGACAGCACCACTGAAAGTTTGCAAGACAGCTGGGTTCAGTGAAATATTTGAAAACAAGAAATATAGCACCAATGGAAAACAAAGGCCTACAGCCACACTTGATTAACTCCACGTTAGACAGACAGGAACAGGGATCAGGACTTGCAACACAGATCAGTACAGAAGGCCAAAACAAAACCTTTAGCTACTATATAAAACAAGGAGTGCTCCAAGGCAGATTCAGTCAATTAAGAAAAAAAAAATCAAAGCCTCAGCCTTTGCTTACAATCTTTATTGAAGTTATACAAAAAGAATCCTCCAAAAGTGAAAAAATACATTATATACAAAAACACTTTCCCTTGGGAGGAAGGCTCTGCCCCCTCTTAACATGCAGTGCTTTCAACTGTAGCGCCAGCCTCCACTGCCACTCGGCTTTCAGCCTGATTCTCAGCCTGGAAGATAAATGGAGCCTGGGCATGAGTCAGCCTACTTTAAGCCATTCTGTCTTATATAACTGAAGCCTCAGTCAAAGGAAATACATACAGATCACCCAAACTCTGCTTTGCTCCCTATATTAAGAGGGCAGTGACCACAATGTACAAGGACATTTCTTGAATTCTGTGATAATGGGGGTGACAGAGCCAGTATAATCCTATCACATGAAAAGGAGAAATGACCTAATGTTTTTTTCCCCAGGTCCTGAGAACAAAGAATGAGGCAAGAGGCCATGCCCTGCTTAACTGCCCACCTCCTCCGTGTTTTCCAAAACTTCATTTCCACTGGAGACAGCATCCCCACTGCCTCCATTCACCTCCGGCTCTTGTTTGGCTTTCTTTGCATCGTCTTTCCGGGGACTCTCTTCCTCTGGTTTCCTCTAAAGATATAATTATGAAGACTTCACAAATGTGCTTAATGTTTTTAAAAAGACAACTGAAAAACATTTCCTCAATCCTTGTGGGGCAAAGATCCTGAACACCAAGATTCGCAGGTCTAAGGGTCTCTCTCTCTAGCCACAGACAGATGCTAACTTGTACCCTCAGAATAAATCTGTCCCATCATAACACTCGAGGCCTCTGTACCAAAAGCAGAGTGGGGTAAGGTTGGGGTGAGGACATGTGAATAGAAATTACTGTAGAAGTTTGAATTCCTGCGTTTGAGTCAGGAAAGTTTGACTTCCCCTATCCACCAAAAGAAAAGAGCCACCGACACTGTAGGCAAAGTAGGCAAAAGGCACACTAAGTACCAATAGGCCTGCTGCTGAATGACTACTGTCAAAGAAAACCTGCCAGCTGCTAATCCAATCTGCAGCTTTCATGATAGTCTTTGGGCTTTAAAAGGCCAGGACTCTTTCCTAGAAGAGATGTACAAATAAAAACCGTCTTCACAGTCGGGAACGGTGGCTCATGCCTATAATCCCAGCACTTTGGGAGGTCAAGGCAGACGGATCACGAGGTCAGGAGTTTAAGACCAGTCTGATCAACATGGTGAAACCTCATCTCTACTAAAAGTATAAAAATTAGCCATGCATGGTGGCACTTGTAGTCCCAGCTACTCAGGAGCCTGAGGCAGAAGAATCGCTTGACCAGGGAGGCGGAGGTTGCAGTGACCTGAGATCGCACCACTGCACTCCAGCCTGGGCAACAGGGCAACACTCCGTCTCAAAACACACCCACACACACACCTGTCTTCACTTACAAATCCTTACCATCTTTGGAAAAAGTGTCTTACATGCACCAACTATATAAAGAGGGGTTATAGGAAAGGTATTTAAAATGGAGTCTGAGGAAAAGGTAGAAAACACTGCATGCAGACTTACCTTCTTTCTAACAAGGTGGGAAATATCAGTTACACAATTTGATGAGGAAGCACCATCTGTTGGCTTTCTACTGGCAATCTGACAAAATAAGCCTTTATTAGTAATTGTTCAAGCTACACAAGATCAGTGCTAAGGCTTGTATGATTTACTTTTATGTTTACTTTTTTAGACAGTCTCACTATGTTTCTAAGGCAAGTACTGAATTCCAAGCCTCAAGCAATCCTCCTGCTTTGGCCTCCCAAAGTGCTGGGATTACAGGCAAATGCCACCACACTGTGCCAACACTGAGACTTCATAAGTGACCAAAAACCACCTGAATACCCACCATAGAGACTGAAGAGACTCCTCCACTAGGAGTAAAACCTGAAGTAGAGCTCTCCACCTGTATGTGAAATGACAAACCCAAATTGGTTTCAGGATAGAACCTGGCCACTCACAGGTACCAATCACCAACCAAACAACTGACCTCAAATGCTAGTGGCCACCATGTAGTGTCAAGATCATCTAACCCTGGCCAATCTATGCCTGTCTAGCAGCCACCCAAAGCACAGTCAAAGGGCACATAATTAACTAAATCTTCCATATCCTACCTGCAGGGTAAAAAGCTCTGTGACATCCTGACTGCCAAAAACAGTACCAGGCAATTTGTGGTGAATGCCTCTCAATAAGTCACCAATTTATGCAAATGAGTTCTCAGACGGAAACAGCAACTCACATTTGTTAAGAAATGTGTATTTGTCCAGTACTATCAGAAGTATTGTATTTTATACATATGTACTACAGGTTGGGCATCCCATCTCTTAATCCAACCTGAAACTTTTTGAGGACTGACATGACACTCAAAGGAAATGCTCTCTGGAGCATTTCATATTTTGGGTTAAGGACATCCAACTGTTGAATATGATCCAAGTATTCGAAACTGCAAAAGCATCTGAAATGCAAAAACACTTCTGGTCTCAAGCATTCAGATAAGGATACTCAAGCTGTATTATCCGTTTTACAAATGGGTCAACTGAGGGAGAGAAATGCCCATGGCCACACACATTAAGTATGGAATTAAAACCGAGATAGTCTGGGGCTCCAGAGTATTTCCTCTTAACCATTATATTATTTGATAGGAATAATGAGATGAGCCCACCAACTGCCTGGGAAACCAAGTCATGATGAAAAGTTCCTGGCAAATGGAGTACTAACATAAATGGTACAAACATACTATTATCAAAATCTTAAAAGGAAACGGAACCAACCAGAGTAGCTTTCAGAGCCAGTTCAGCTACGTTCCCACTACGCTGAGACTCCTTTGCATCTTCTATCTTCTCTCTAATTTCAGGTAGCAGTTCCTTCAGCTCCTCAATTTCTTTCTTACATTCAGCAGATGATCGTTCTGCCTCCTTCACCTGCTCATTTAGTACAGCTGTAAAAAGAATAAGTGATAAGTAACGGCACAAAAAATAACCACATTTTTCCTTGTTAATTGCTGGATCCAGCATCACCATGAAGCAGCTCGTCTTCACTCACCCATTCTCTTCTCAATAACTTCA